TGTTTGAATCCACCAGATGCTCTGCTGGAGAAGGAGGGGCAATCTCCTCCTGTACTAGTCAGACTTGATTTGATAGTACACACACACAAAAATAACAATTTTAAAAAGAACTGACTATTGATCTTTCAATCTGATACTATTGGTAGACACTAAGGCCCCCTACAATTTGGATGTATTGAAGGGATATTGGCCTGGAAGAGGTCAATGACTGAAAAAGCATGGTTGTAATCCAATTTTCAAGGCTAGTCTTTGTAGTGTCCTGGTTTGGATTCAGGAAAGAAGAAAACTAATGAGATACAATCCCATGCTCTTTGATAACAAAAGAATTTTGTACCAAGTGGCAACATCTTTCATTGTGCAACTAGAAACAAGGTCAAAAAGAGAATATATCTAATACACAGATAAACATTGACTCACCACATTACAATTAATGTCCTTGACAGACATCAGAATGCAAGAAAAAAAAACATGGACTTCAGGAAACTAAGAAGCAAATTTTTCCCTCCTCCCTCCGTTACTCTATTTTCCTACTCCTCTATTCTTATCTGGTTAATTTAAAGGGATTTTAGTTTTGGTTTGTTTTTTTTTTCTTCACATAGCTGAGATGAAATAGCTTTTCACAGATTAATTTCAAATGTCTTTTGGCCTGAAGTTGTCCAAATATCTTTCTTGGGGGAAGGGGAATGTGATATCTCTTTGAATTGCATTAAAAAACAAAACAAACAACCAGCCAAAAAAAAACAACAACACACTACCTGCCAAAGCTGTAATCCAGTCTCCAGGTCTCAGAGCTCAAGAAAACCTTGGTACAATATGCCCAAGTGGTAACCCGAGACCCAAGGATAAATAATTAAGTGAGGTCTACTGAATGACAATAATACCTGGCCTCATAATTCATTTATCAACCTCTTGTGTTGGAAATCAAAATAATAAGGCTTCGTGGGCTTGTACGAATGCTTTCACAGTTAGTTGTAGGAGCACATTTTGGCCTAATTTACAAACTAGGTAATTTACTCATAACACATGAGCCAAACCTGATTACATAGTGAAGGGAGGATGCGTTATGCTTCCTTTGAACGTTCTCATCCCAGGAAACATGCTTTCCACTTGGACTAGGTGAAATTGACTTTTGGTTTTGGTTTCATACAGGACTGAGCCAAAGGGCTGTTCAAGCAAGTAAAAGATATTGGAAAACTGTTGTTTAGACAATTTTAATTAAAACTGGCATTCATAACTATATCCCAGTTGTTGCTGTTATCGTTAGGTGTCACTGAGTCAACCACGACTCATAGCAACTCTTTGAACAACAGATAAGAAAGAACTTTGCCCTAACCTGCATTATTTTCAAAATCCCCTTCATGCTCAAGCCCGCCGCTTTAGTAATTGTCTCCATTTATCTCATTCTGGCATTCCCATTCCTCTCAATGTAATTCAGAATTTAGTATTATATTGTTTTTGTTGTTACGTGTTGTTGAGTCAGTTGTGACTAATAGCAACCCTAAGAATAATAGTTCTGAGCCTCGCCCTATCCTGAGCCAATCTCACTGTCTCCATCACACCTCCTCCCATTATCCCACTTACTCGGTCAGTCTATCTCACTCAGGGTCTTCTTATCCTGTGCTGTCAATGCCCTGATCCAAGAACAAGACCTTCCTGGCAACATGCCCAAAATATGTCAGAGGGAGCTTCAGAATCCTTGCCTCCAATGAACAACCCGCTTTTACCTTCTTCAAGACAAACCTGTTGGTTCTTTTGTCAGTCCATGGTTTGTTCAATACTCTTCTCCAGCACAGCTCAAAGGTATCAATTCTTTTTTGGTTATCCTTAGTCATTGTCCAGGTCTCTGATGCATAGCAATTAATCATGAAGACTATGACCTGGATCAGGTGCACCTTAGTCTCTAGACTGACATTGTCACACTTCAGTACTCTGAAGAGGTCCCTGTGAGTAGATTCTCTAATGCAACTCATCTTTTGATTTCCTGTCTGTTGGTGCTGAAAGTGCTGATTGTGGAACCAAGCAAGATGAAATTGTTAACAATCTCAATCTATTCTCCATCTATCATGGTGCTACTAATTGGCCCAGTTGTTGTTGCTGTTATGTGCTGTTGAGTCACCTGCAACTCATAGGAACCCTACATACAACAGCCCTAAACCCTGCTCTATCTGTGCCAATCTTATTGTCTCAGACACACCTACCCCCATTACCCCAGTCGCTGAATCAATCCATCTCACCGTGGGTCTTCCTCTCTTGTGCTGTGCTTCACCTTCTCAAACATGACATCCTTCTCCGAAGACTGGTCCCTCCTTGAAACATGTCCAAAGTATGTCAGACAAAGCTTCAGAATCCTTGTCTCCAAGAAACAGGATGGTCTCACCCACTCCAGGATGAACCTATTTGTTCTAGCAGTCCATGGTATAGTCAATACTCTTCTCCAGCACAACAGCTCAAAGGTATCAATTCTCATTCTATCACCCCTAGTCATTGTGAAGCTTTCTGATGCATAGCAAGTAATTGCAAAGACTATGGCCTGG